GAAAATAAGTCTATTGTTTGTTACAAATCTTTTTATAAACGGAAAAATAATTATTGTTGATATAAATATTTTTATATATAAATAAACGTATATTATTGATACAAATATTTTTTATATACGAAAAAGAGAATATGATTAATAATGATATTTATTACCAACGGAAAAATTTATTGTTGATAGAAATATTTATATAAAAAGTAAAAAGTATTTTTTTTATTACAAATATTTATATATAGGAGAAAAATTCTACTACTGATACAACTATTTTGATCAATGGGAAAAAATTCTAATACTAATACATTTATTTTTATAAATGAGAATAAGTGTATAGTTTATTAAAATATTTATATAACCTAGAATAGACTATCATTGCTACAAATATTTTTATAAATGAAAATAACTGTATTGTTGATACACTGATTTTTATAAAAGGGAAAAATACAACTGTTCATACAATTGTTTTTTAAATGGGAAAAAATATATTGTCTAGTACAAATGTTTTAATTAACCCGAAAAAATCTACTGATAATAAAGTTATTTTTGTAAACAGGAATCAATATAACTTTTTGTTAGAAATATTTCTATAAACAAAAAAAATTATGTTGTTCATAAATTTTTTTTATAAATGAAAATAAGTTTATTATTTGTTAGAAATAAGTTTATAAACGGAAAAATACTATTATTGATATAAATATTTTTATATATGAAAAAGTGTATTGTTAACAAAAATATTTTTATAATCGAAAAAAAGAATATTGTTGATAAAAATATTTTTAGAAACAAAATAAAATACATTGTTGATACAAATATTCATATAAATAGAAAAAAAAAATTATTGTTGAGTTATATTTCAAATGCGTACATAATTTATTATGTTTAACAATATATTTAAGTTTCAAATGCATGCATTGTAACACCCTAATTTTTCTCCGTAATATTTTGAATAAAAAAATATCAGAGTAATTAAATTAAACACACGCAACTTAGGATGTTATGGTCATCATACAAAACCTACTCACTTGATAAAATATATAAAACTTATATTCTAATATAATCATAAAAACCCGACCATTACTTTTATTGCAGCGGAATAAAAGAAAATTATTTATCGTCTCATGGTGTATAAAATTTATCATGGAATTATACAATTCACCAAAACAACAACTAAACATAATAAGAGAGAGATGTCCACAATCTCAAAGAAACTATAAATCAAAAATGCGTTCCAACGACTCCCTAATCTTACAATCAGAGCAGGCACTAACTACAAACAAAAAGAGTTAAAAGACTCCATCTTCAACTCACATCGGAGTCCTGCTACGAAGCATCTGCATATTGCCCACGTGGAGGCAATATTTAAACAGAAGGGGTGAGATATCATGATAATATAAAGCAAAACATGATAAACAGTATGCATTAGGATATCACATGTATTGTCATCCAATCTAACACACACCACATTTAACACCAACAACAAGTTATCAAGTATAAGGATAACACAACAACAATTCATCTAACATCTCGTGTTAATCAACCAACAACATCATTACTAATTATTTCCAACCAACATGGAAATCAAGTAGCAGCAATTCCAATTAATCACACAAAACCACATACTTAGCAACATAGCAACATATATAATGTAATCAGAGTCACAACCTGACTCAATGCATATGCATGTGATACCCAATTTTGTGAACACTCAGGTTCACCGTTCTGATCCCCACCTCCTAGGATCAGAACTACTCACTGAGCCATTACCTCCAGAATCAGCTACTGGCCTAATTCACACAATGAGATTTTAGCCTCACCAACCACGGACCATTGTCCACAAATGTATGCAATGCGACTATTTATCCATTCAACAACGATAACATCATCGTGAACAATAACCCACCATCATCGTTATTGTACACGCCCAAATTGGCCAACAAAAATAAAATATATGTCACACACACACACACACACGCACACACACGCGCGCACACACACACGCACACACACGCGCGCACACACACACACACACACACACACACACACACACACACACACACACACACACACACACACACACACACACACACACACACACACACACACACACACACACACACACACACACACACACACACACACACACACACACACACACACACACACACACACACACACACACACACACACACACACACACACACACACACACACACACACACACACACACACACACACACACACACACACACACACACACACACACACACACACACACACACACATATATATATATATATATATATATATATATATATATATATATATATATATATATATATATATATATATATATATATATATATATATATATATATATATATATATATATATATATATATATATTATGCAATCAGAAACAAGTAAAAATAATCACATTCAAAGTAATGCATTATACCACACAACATTATATCATAACCTCAATCATATTCAACAAAAAATATCACTTCTCAGGTTCTAAAACCCACAAAAAATGAAAGTATGTGCCTTCGGCTTCACGGTGCTTCGAATGGCGCCTCAAACGAACTTACAGATTAAAAGTTACGTCCATTCTTCCACCACTCGCTACAGGTTCGCTACTACTCCCTTAGCGAACTTTCGCTACGCGAAATACAGCTTGCGTCGGGAACTCCCGCTACCATTTCTTTCACGAACTCATTACAGAATGTAAACCATGGATTTTTGCTACGCAAACTATAGTTCACATCGCGAACTTTCCAGGAAAGCAAATCTGAAAAGTATGATATTTGCAATTGGATGCCTTCTGGACCTCTAAATTTGATTCGGTAAAAAGTCTTAATCTCAGAATTTCAAATACCACCATTATATAACAGTTATAACAGCCCACAAGACCTGTTTAGGGGCCCTAACATCATACATACCTCATATAATCATCAATTCATATATTCAACACATGAACGGTCGACAAATAAGATATGGAAAAATCATTATCATCAACAATCCAACACAAACACAACACAACATAATCATACAACATCAAGATCAATGAGTTCATCAATTTTATCAATAATCATTATAATCAACAACAATTAACAACAATCTGAACCCTAAATCTACCCTTCTTCACATCATTCATAATTGACACCAATTACCCACTATTCATCATAATATCCCTTAGAAAATTAGAATCTCACCCTTACCTTAGATTGAAGAGTTTTTCCTTCTCTAATGGAATTCTTCCCTCTTCTTTGCCCTAGCCTCTTTCAACTTCTAATCCAATTTCACGTACGATGAAAAACTGACTCTAATCTTTTTCATTTCCCTTTATAAAATCCCTCAACTATTATTTAACTCACTTACCATCACTCATCCTCGTATAATTACCATTCTTCCTTTCAAATCTCTACACACCAAGTATTTCATTTTATTTTATTTTATTTTATTATTAATCTCATCGAATTAAAATAATAATAATAATAATAATAATAATAATAATAATAATAATAATAATAATAATAATAATAATAATAATAATAATAATTCACAACAATTATTTAATTCAATTAATAATTAAATAATTATCACTAATATTTCTATTTAGTTTTATTTCTCACACCAATAATCTCTACTCAAAGACTCACACACTTCTCCACCCTCAAGGTCTACTCTTAAGGTTACTACTCCACACCAAGGGTATCTCCAAACACAACAAAATACACATAATCATATTTATACACACAATTTAATATAATTAAATTATGAAAAATAATTTAAAATAAAACGGGATGTTATATACATAGTTCATTATGTGAGCTATATTTTCATTGTTTCTTAAATAAATATTAGTTTATAGTTATGATTTTGTTAATGTTTATTATCTATAATACAAATTTGCGACTGACAATGAGATATTATAACGTCATTTATTAATTACTAATTTTATATATATATATATATATATATATATATATATATATATATATATATATATATATATATATATATATATATATATATATATATATATATATATATATATATATATATATATATATATATATATATATATATATATATATATATATATATATATATATATATATATATATATATATATATATATATATATATATATATATATATATATATATATATATATATATATTTTATTAATTAATAATTTTAGGAACTTGTGATCCAAAGTTAAATTCTTATTAAAGATATTTAATAAAAGCTTGCATTTTAATGAGTGAAGTCATCTTTTGTACCATTATATATTATACTTCTCTTTTAATATGACTTTACAAACTTATAATAAATAGGGTTTTAATATTATATATTAGTCATATATTTAGAATTTGACACCTACTAACACTAAATATTTATGAAGAAGATCAAATATGAAATAATTAATAGTTTTTTTAAAAATGACAATGTAAGGGAAAAAATTTAAGAATTGAGTCACACTCTTTGCTCTGGGTTAAAATTATTTAGAAGTTTTTAAAACAAAAATGAGTTGTAACCACATTTTGTGAATTGTTAATAATTCAATTCCATAAGTAATATTTGGAATATTTTTTAATGTTTAAAATGAAAAGTAATATAAATGCCATAGAGAATAATTTTATTATCAATAAATTTTATAAAAGTTTAAAACAAACTCTTAAAGATAAAACATATATAATTAAACTCCTTGATTATTCATATAAGAAAACAATTAGACTCATTGAATAAGTAGTGTATAATTCAATAAATTTAAAAAAACTAAATTTTTTTTTATAGTAGAGAATAGATGATAATGTGTGAGTACAACAAAAATTAATGTACATTTAATTTTTTTCTAAACTTTATTGCCATTTAACTACTTTTAAAATATTTACAATATATCATAGTCTTAATTACGGGATAGAATTTCTTCTCTATAAATACCTTACTAACCATAGCTTATTCATCAAACCATAGAGTACTTTCGTTGTAGTGATATCATGGCTTTTACTCTAGGACATGCAGTTTCTCATATATTCATCTTTTTATGTTTGCTTTCAATATTCCCAGGGACCCCTTCCTTATGCTTTAAACCCAAAAAACTTGTTAACGTTACTTCCAACTTCTCATCTGATTCAGATTGGGCATCTACCATGGCTACTTGGTATGGACCTCCGGAAGGTTATGGAAGTGATGGTATATAGTAGAATTTTTTCCTTGGCAAGAATCATTATTTTTTAACCAAATGATTGTTTAAATGCTTTTAATTCATGTTATAATTAACTATGTAGGTGGGGCTTGTGGATATGGAAAAGCCGTTGGCCAACCTCCATACAATTCAATGATATCAGCCGGAAACCCTGTCATCTACCAATCAGGAAAAGGCTGTGGTTCATGTTATCAGGTCTAACAATTGAAAAGTTTTTTCTTAAAAAGAACTATTGAAAAGTTATTAAATATTACTTGTAGAAGGATTAAAGCATAATCTATTGTCCATAAGTCAATTAAGTGACAATGGTTATGACATAATCTTTAATAAAAAATGTTGCAAGGCTGTTAGTCAGAAGGATGGCTCAATCCTATTTAATGGAAAGAGGAAGAACAACATTTACAAAATCAATCTTTCAGAACTTAAGGTTCAAAATGTAAAATGCCTTATGTCTGTTAATGTTGAGCAATGGGTCTGGCACAGAAGATTGAGGCATATTAATATGAGATGTATATCTCAGATTAATAAACTCAATCTGGTCAGAGGACTTCCTAAGTTGAAGTTCAACTCAGATGCTCTTTGTGAAGCATGTCAAAAAGGAAAATTTTCAAAATCTTCTTTTAAAACTAAGAATGTTGTTTCAACTTCAAGACCATTAGAGTTACTTCACATTGATCTGTTTGGACCAGTGAAAACTGCATCCATCAGAGGCAAGAAATATGGATTAGTCATTGTTGATGACTATAGCAGATGGACATGGGTGAAATTCCTAAAACACAAGGATGAGTCACATTCTGTGTTCTTTGACTTCTGCAAACAAGTCCAGAATGAAAAAGATTTTAAAATTGTTAAAGTCAGAAGTGATCATGGTGGCGAATTTGAAAACAAAAATTTTGAAAAATATTTTAATGAAAATGGCATTGCTCATGATTTCTCCTGCCCTAGAACTCCACAACAGAATGGAGTTGTAGAGAGGAAAAATAGAACTCTGCAAGAAATTGCCAGAACCATGATCAACGAGACTAATCTGGCAAAGCACTTTTGGGCAGAAGCAATAAACACAGCCTGTTATATTCAGAACAGAGTGTCTGTAAGACCTCTTCTTGAAAAGACTCCCTATGAATTGTGGAGGAACAGAAAGTCCAACATTTCTTATTTTCATCCTTTTGGATGTATATGTTATATGTTGAACACTAAAGAGAATCTAAACAAGTTTGATTCTAAAGCACATAAGTGTTTCATGCTTGGGTATTCTGAACGCTCTAAAGGCTACAGAGTATACAATACTGAAACACAGATTGTGGAGGAATCTATACATGTTAGATTTGATGATATGCTTGGCATTCAAAAGCCAAAGAAGTTTGAAAGTTCTGCAGATAGAGAACTAATTCTCAATGACTCTGAAGGCTCAGAGGCAAAAAAAAAGTTCAAGTAAGGAACCAGAAGCAACGCTAGATGCAATTCCTTTAGCTTATCAAATGAACAACTTAAATATTTCTGAAGAATCAACTGTTAGAGGATCATCTTCCAGAATCAAGGCCTCTCACCCAGAGGATGTGATCATTGGAAAGAAGGATGACCCTATAAGAATAAGATCCTACCTCAGATCATCTGAAGCGTCATTATTTGGGTTGGTGTCAGTTATTGAACCAACTTCTATGGATGAAGATCTACAAGACAATGACTGGATAATTGCCATGCAAGAAGAGCTCAATCAGTTCACAAGATATGACGTTTGGGATTTGGTTCCAAGACCAAAAGGATTCAACATAATTGGAACTAAATGGGTCTTCATAAATAAGTTGAATGAAAAAGGAGAAGTTGAAAGAAACAAAGCAAGGCTTGTTGCTCAGGGTTATAGCCAGCAAGAAGGAATTGATTATACAGAGACTTATGCTCCTGTAGCCAGGTTAGAGTCTATTCGTTTACTCATTTCTTTTGCTGCACAAAATAACATCACTCTATATCAGATGGATGTTAAGAGTGCCTTCTTAAATGGAATTATAGAAGAATAAGTTTATGTTCACCAACCTCCTAGTTTTGGAAGTGAAAAATTTCCAGAACATGTTTTTAAACTAAAGAAATCTCTTTATGGTTTAAAACAAGCTCCCAGTGTAACAGCCCGAATTTCATTAAATAATTAATTATAGTAATTAATTGATTTAGTGGGATTTTTATTAATGTGGAAATTAATTTTTATTAATTGGAATTAATAGAGAATTGAGAAGGAAGGAAAATAAAGGAAATATAATAGAGAAGGAAAAGAAAAGAAAGTTAGAGAGAAACATTTGGAAAGAAAGAAGAGAAAGAGGGAAGAAGAAGAGAAAGGGATGAGAAGAAGAGGAAAGTGGAAAATCATCAAGAACCAACATCAAAGCTCCGATTAATCGAGGTAAGGGTGAGAAACATTGCTATTTGATCATTGTATACTATTATGTATGTTGGGTTTGGATTGTGGAGTAGTTTCCATCCTTTTCCATTTAGGGCAAAGTTGGATTTAATCGGTAGAACTGTGATTTAATCGGTTAAAATCTGAAATAGATGATGTAGAATAGTCTAGAAATGTTAGACTAAGAGTATTGGAGTTGGATTAGTGAGATTTGGAGTTTTTGGAGTCGGTTGAGTTGGATAACAGTAAGTGAAAAACAAAATACGCAGACACTCGCTAGCATCTCGCTAGGCGAGCAGGTCGCGAATGTTCTCTAGGGGTTCGCTCAGCGAACAGATAGCGAATGGTCCCAGACTTGGACAGAATGGATTTTGGGTGTGTTCGCTGGTAGCGAAAGTGTAGCGAACAGATAGCGAAATGGTTCGCTGGGAAGCTCGCTGCAGCGAGCAGGTAGTGAAGCCTTCCAGTAGCTTCTGTTGGGGTTCGCGAGCTTGTTCGCTAGGCGAACAGGTAGCGAGTGTTCGCCAGGTGCCCGCCTAGCGAGGTGGTGGCGAACATGACAGAATTTCGTTTTTCTGTGATTTCATTCTATGTTGTGTTGTGGTTCGATCGGGTTCAATCCTTAATGGAATGAAATGTTATATACTGTATGTGTATGTGCTGTGGGTAGCCTTTGGGCGTGAATCATAGATTGCGATATGTATAATGTTTGCATCGATTAGAAAATACACGAGAACATAGTAATGATTATGTGTGTATTATTCGATGAATTATGAGTGTATGTTGTTGTATGCAAATGTATGAGATGCATGGGAACATATCGTGGATATGTGTGCATTGTTTGATGATGTGGTAATAGCATAAATGTCGTGGATATATGAAGTATGCTTGTGAATATGATGGGTTTCGGATGATTGGGGAATATGTATGAAGGGATATGTTTGGGAATGTTCATATTTGTTTATATTTACAACATGATAAATATGACTATGAATTGAATTTGTGGTGAGAAATGTAGAATGTAATTATGTGATACCTGTATATATATAATCTTATGCATTGATTATTATGGTAATATTTCTCACCCTTCTGTTGTTTTATAATGCTCTACGAGACATTGCAGATTAGGATGTTGGAGTCTTTCTTTTGTGAAGTATAGCTTCATTCTTTTGAGTCGGACTGCTCTGATTATGTAACACCGGGTAGTTAGGCTGGTATAGTATTCTTTTGTGATACATTGCGATGTATCAGCTGATGTGGCTTGTAATTACCTGACATGATGTATAAATATGGATATCTTATCTGTATGTGAATTGATGTTTTGGAAATGATTAAATGATTTTATCTTCCGCTTAAATTTAAATGTTGAAATGTGATTTCTAAACCATGACAATGTTACATATTTTATGGAGCAAACGTTAAAGTGTTTCTTTGGTGAAATTGTGATATTCTTCCTTTATACCTTATTCTAAAATTTTCACTCTGATAAATTTGTATATGCATTTATTTGGGGGTATAGAAGGGGGTGTTACACCCAGAGCTTGGTATGAGAGATTAAACAATTTTCTTCTAGAGAAAATTTTTATCAGAGGCAAAGTGGACACAACACTCTTCTGTAAAACATTTAAGAAAGATCTGTTAATTTGTCAAATATATGTGGATGATATTATATTTGGATCTACAAATATTACGCTGGGAAAGGAGTTTGCTCAATGTATGCAGACTAAATTTGAGATGAGCATGATGGGAGAATTGAGATTCTTTCTAGGAATTCAAGTCAACCAGACTCCAGATTGCACTTACATTCATCAGACCAAATATGTTAAAGAGTTTCTGAAGAAGTTCAACATGACTGATAGTAAGATGTCAAAGAATCCTATGCATCCAACAAGTACTCTTGGTAAGGAAGAGGTAAGTAAGAAAGTAGATCAGAAACTCTACAGAGGTATGATAGGATCTCTTCTCTACTTAACTGCTTCTAGACCTGACATTTTATTCAGTGTATGCTTGTGTGCAAGATTCCAATCAGATCATAGAGAATCATACTTAACAACTGTTAAGAGGATTCTAAGGTATCTGAAAGGTACTTCTAACGTGGATTTGTGTTACAAAAGTTCTAATGAATTTAAACTAGTTGGATTCAGTGACGCTGATTACGCTGGAGACAGAGTGGAAAGAAAAAGTACTTCTAGAAGTTGTCAATTTCTAGGAAGAAATTTAATCTCCTGGTACAACAAGAAACAACCTACAATTGCGATATCAACTAGAGAGGCAGAATATATTGATGTTGCTGGATGTAGCACGCAGATGCTCTGGATGAAAAGTCAGCTAGAAGACTATCAGATCTTTGAGAGTAGTGTTTCTATATTCTGTGATAATACTTCTGTTATATGTTTGTCTAAAAACCCCATTTTACACTCTAAGGCAAAACATATAGAAATTAAACATCACTTCATCAGAGACTATGTTCAGAAGGGTATTATAAAATTAGACTTTGTTGATACAGATCATCAATGGGCTGATATTTTCACAAAACCCCTTGCTGAAGATAGGTTCAAGTTTATTCTGAAAAATATTGGTATGGAATTTTGTCCAGAATAATACTTATCAGAAGCAAACTTCTCAGATGCAAAATGTTTAAACTCTGAAGTATTTCATCTGTCATTTATTTGATTTCTTGAATTGTTATTTCTGTGTGTGTCTGAACTAACAAGTCTCAGAGGATCTGAACGTTGGCTAACGTTTCATTTCTCAAAGAGAATTCAGAAGTACATGCAAGCAAACACGTGTCACTCAGAATCTGAAAAGATGG